TCCAAATATTTACGATCGGCTAGATAATATAACGATAATATAATTACACTACTCAGCATGTGAATCTACAAGGTCCCTGTGGATCGACATCCGGAACCACTGTTCTGCAAAATGCGATACCGTATACTTACGGTAATTTATACGTGAGGAAAACGCGTATCAGTAATCACGTTACCAAAGGGTCCTTTACGGTATCTCACATTGCTTCCAAAGACCAGCTCGCGGATGCTCTCACAAAGCCGTTGTCATCCTCTCTCTTTGCTCACATTCGGTCCAAGATCGGTATCTCCAATGGGAGCACCGTCTTGCGGGGGCGTGTTAGAGATTATCCCGCAACAAACTCTTCAGTGGTTGACAATATGAAAAACTATAATCCTAAAATCTCTCCAACCTAAACAACTCAAACTTATCTTCTGTAACTTCTAGTCCAAGTATTAATCCTTTGTATTTATATATATATAGGAGACACACGGTGTAATCAAGGTATCAATGAAATCTTTTTCTATACACCTTTATTATTCTTCAATCACTTGGTGATACACGGGTTGAAAGAATTAATAGGCGAGACGTGGCCTCTAATTTGTTCTTCGCGAGGTGCATTTTAAGGTGATATTTTTTTCTACGCCGTACGATTCCACGTCACGCCTCACAATTCCTCTCACACTCTTGATTCCTCATGTGGGCAATACCTGTTTCACAAAAAGTCGGTACGGAGCCGGTGCTTGGTCCCGGCAAAAACCCTCCTATGCTCAAGTCAGTCATGTATGATAAAAGAATTCAAAAGACTACTCGGGAATTATGAATTTATATAGAGAAATATATTCTCATGGGTTTAAGTCTCTTAATATGAGTCAACTTAGATCTGACTATTTAGATTACGGCAAACTTAAGCCTTAGCCAACTTGAGCTTATATTATTATCCTTAATTAGTTAAGTTGGACTTGATTTGTATGTCTCTATGGAATTGTCGATATGAATTTGCACTCACGAGCGAGAGATCAGTTTGACCAGCATAGATCGAAATTAATTAAAGTCTTTCTAGAAATCCTTGATTGATTTAGTAGGCCAAAAGGCTACACACATTTCAATTATTTAAATGGATGGGACCAAATAAAAATGGACAAATGAGACATAATTTGCTAGAAGTTCAAAATAAATGGGGACCCTTTTTTGAGTTGGAGTAGTCAAATTATGCTTCTCTTCTCTTATTTTCTTCTGCTGCTTTTACGTACTTCATTAGGCGTTTGATTATAATATTTTAAAAATATTAATAAATAAATAGATAAATAAATAAAAAAATAAAAAAATAGATAATCTTTGATTCACTTTTTCTATGTAATTATAATTGATGAGTGAGTGAGGTATGTGTCTAACACCCCAACATCACCTTGGATTCAGTTTTATTTCATATGTAATATAATTATGATTGGTGTGAGGTATATTCCTAATCATAATTGGTGTGTTGGGTGGGTATATTCCCTTTTTTTTAATGGCAATAGGTACACACAAACACGCGCCCACACAAACTACACAGAGTGACGCATGCACATCCACACTCACACACGCACATATAATCAAATTGATACACAATAGTCGATTGAAATTCAGATCTATGTATTTTGTTGTTCACTTTATTAGCTATAGATTTTGGGAAATAGATAATTATAATAGTAATATTTTGATAGATGACCACTGAACATA